GCTTACAAGGTGAACTATGAAATTGTTTTGTAAGCTTGTACTTATTCAATGAATGACATTCTTATTCTCCAAGTCAAATTTAAAATCTTCAATCTGAAGAGAAGATATTTATAACTAAAATATGTTTTGTTAGACAGAATATGAATATTTTAATTTCCATGTGTGCCTTCTATCTTTTCATCAGACTCCAGTTTATATTTTTATTTCCAGGCTCATTCTACTAAATTTTAGCTGGTATCATACTGTCCAGTTTACCCAGCTTTGTAAGTTTTATGGGATGTGGCTATACTTCTTCCTGCCTCTAATGTTTCAGTAACTACAACTCACAAGAACCAGCTCTGAGGAATCTCAGAGTTTGTTAGGTCTTGTCTCTTCTAGGTACAACCTACTGGAAAGGGGGGTAAAATAAATGATTATCAGATCCTTAGAGGAAACAATTAACACTACCCTAATTCTAAAAAGCAACTGTTATCGTTCAATCAATCTGAAGAATCGCTCAATTTTGTCAGCTTTTAAAAAAATAGATTTGTTTCCAAAAATTTGTTTATTCTGCATTTCTCACTAGTTGAAGTTCCCTGAAGGACTCAAGGTTGAGGAAAATTGGCTTTCTTTTGATGTTTTGAATTAGTGAGGTAAAAATGACGGCTTAAATGATGTCAAAGTATTCTTGCATCTCTGAGATTTCATGACTCTTTAATGCTCAATAGTAGGATATATTGATTAGGATACCAGCTACAGTAATATATATCTAAAACTTTTTCAACTGTTAATCATCTTTATTCCATTCAGTATAGAACTTTTCTTCACTGCTTTAACCCAAGCAGAATTTTTTCAGAAGCTTGACCTGCCCCTCTTTGGAAGACACCTGGATGAATTTCAAAGGAAAAGGATACGACAGAGTAAAAAGGAAACAAAAAAGATGGCCTGTTTTTTGCCTAAGTTCTAGCAATTTGACTGACTCTTACTTGTAAATTTTTCTTGCCACTGAGTCATTGCATACAGAATTATGAAACTTTAATTTCTTTAGAGGCTTGTTATATTAGAAAAATTGTTCCAAAGAAAGCAACAATCATGACATAAGCACATCTGGCTCTTGCAAATTATTCTTTATTAAGCTTTCATTTAATTACATGTGCTGAAAGGTCTGTTTTTGATTACTGTAATTTTTTTTATTTGTCCATATGAATGATAGTAATGCTGTAAATTACATACAAACCACCTGTTTTTTCTCCCTTTCTAATATGGCAAAGTTTGAGCTATTTTCTCTGTGGTTGATGAACTAGGAAGTTTTCTATTTATTTTGATAGAAATGTGACCATCAAGGTAATGGCTTAATCTTGATTATAAGAAGAAAAGAAAATATTTGAATGAAGTTTTCAAGCATTAAATAGTGTTAAGATTGGGGTATCTGACTTCTGGTTAACCACAGCAGATTAATACATTCATTTATTACCAGTTTCACCCAAATCCGAATAAATCAACAGTTAAGGATTATAGGTGTAAGCCTTTAAGTAGAAATAGAAAGAGAAGACAAAAAAATTTGGAATACAAGAAATGGATAGTTGAGTTAGAACTGTCCTAGCAGAAAAGAGAAAGCTGATACCTAAGCTTTAGGAGTGTAAAGCCAAAACAAATCGAGCCCCATTGGAAGCTGAACCTTTGAAATGCTTAGGAATTGAAGGCATCATGTATCATTGAAGGCAGGGTTGTAAGAGGTAGAACTGTAGACAGGATGAGTGATTGAAAATAGGTATAAGATGATACCTCCCTAACCTCATGCAACCTGGTAACTACCATCCTTGCCTCCCCCTCACCCCCAACAAACACATAACCTGGCAGAAGACTCTGGAGTTTTATTCTCTTGAGAAGTTGAACCTGAGAGGTTTTTGTTTTGTTTTGTTTTGTTTTTTGTCTTGGGGACATCAGGCATAGCTGAGAATGACTAATGACACCATTTTGAAAACTTTCAAAGGGAGTCTGCATGATAGATCAGACAGTGAGATCCTTCAGCTACCTTCTCTTACTTGGCTTACTCAATGATGACATACAAGTCTTTATCTTACCCAAGGCAAGAATTTTAAGACCTCTAAGAAAATGGTCTAAAGTGTAAGAGAAACAACCATAGATACTGACATTTGGAATTCCCCAATGAAAAAACTGACTTTCTGCATCATCACTTTATGCTAAAACTCATCAGTCAATAAGTTCGACTCCATACTTAGACCTTCTACTCAGGTTTTGAGTACATCACTCTTATATATAAATAAACAGTCAGTGAACACCAGACACTTCAGAAAAGCTTCTAATATGAAAGAGTTCAAAGAGTTTGGAAAAAAAGAGTCAACAATGTAGAGTACAGAAAACATTAAAAATAACCCCCATACCTATAATTGATATGATCAAACAGAGTAAGAGAATGGGATGCTATAAAAAGAAGCAATCATAGAACAGATTAACAGAAATTAAAAAAAAATTCATAGAAGGGTTGGAAGATAAAGTTGAAAAAAATCTGTCATGGAATATAACAATAGGTCAAAGAGTGGCATATGGAAGAAAAATAGAGGGTTAATAAGGAATTCTCACATTTATCTAATATGAGTCCAAGAAAAAAAGAACAGAGGAGAGAAAATTATCAATGAAAAACGTCAAAAAAGTTTCCTAGAATTGAAGGATATGAGTTTACAGATTGAAAGGGCTGAGTATCCATAACAATGAATATAAAAGTCAACAGAAAGACATCATAGTGAAATTTCAAAACAGTATAAAGGAAAGATCCTAATGCTTTTCAGAGGAGAAAATAGGTTATATACAAAGGATCAGGAATCAGAATGACATCAGACTTCCTTCTAACAAGAATATGAAGACAACAGATAAGTATGTTTGGAACTCTGAGGCAGAATTGTTTTCAATGTATAATTCTATACCAGTCAAACTACAATCAAGTGAGAGTAATATAATAACTTTTTCCAGAAATATTAGTTCCTATATAATAATCTCACATGCACCTTTTTCAGGAAACTCCTGGAGGATGCAGTCTACCAAAAAGAGATGGTTAATTAGGAGAGGAAAACATGATATCCAGGAAACAGGGAATCCAGTACAGGAGAGGCAAAAGAAATTCCAAGTACCATACATTTGTAGTATTCCTAAGGAATACACTAGTTCAGATTGGAGCAGGAAGACAGAGAATTCTGAGAAGGATGTCTTCAAGGGAAAAATATAGGATAACTAGATTACCTGATATATTCTACTATATTGGGTAGATTTTTACTGGTCTCTTGGAAAGTTTGACAGTTCATTAGTGATAGTTATATAAAAATAAAACAAAATATGAGGCAAATATTAAATCTAACAAAATAAAAAGTTGAAAAAGAGAAAATTAAATATAGTTCAATACATACCTCAACTATGAATAGTATCTTCATAGAATACTATAAAACAGTAAACACTAATTTTAAAATTTATGATATTAACATTAAGAGATTAGGGATGGGAGTACACATGGGCTTGGTGATGTAGGAAAGCTAAACCCTCATCTTCTATTATATAAAGTCTGTAAATAAGAATACAAAAGCATAAGCATTTATAAGTAAGTAAGGAGATAAACATCTGTCAAACAGTTAAATGAATTGAAGGGGATAGTCTACACAGAGCAGTAGCAGTACTGGGGCAAGTAGACCAAGGGTATCACACATGGCTGTGAAGGCTGTGCACTGTACATGATGGCCACGCCATTTTTGTTGGTGTTGCTTTCTTCTTTGTTTTTAAGCCTTAAAGTACTATGGAACTTGTAAAATTATATATAA